CTGGCCACGGCCCCCAGCCACCCAAGCTCCCAGTGGAGGCTGGCTGGAAGCAGGTATCTGGGATTTATTTGTCTTCTATAACTGAAACTTTGTTGCCATAAGCGGAGGCCTCAGCCGGCTCAGGGCTGGCAGGAAGCTTGGCTTCCTCCATCACCCGGGCAACCAAGCTTCCTGCTTGCTCCAGCTCCGTGGCTGCTGGCTGCCATCTTGGTTGGGTTAATTTGCATATAGTCGCTCTGATTGGCTGGTGGGCATGGCTTGGGGCGCAGCAAAGGTACGGTCAATTAGCATCTTTGTCTTTTATTAGTGTAGATGTTTTTTATTTTAGAGAGGGAGAGGGAGAGAGAGATAGAAACATCAATGGTGAGAAAGAATCACTGACAGGCTGCCCTCTGCACACCCCACACCAGGGATCGAGCCCACACCCAGGCATGTGCCCTGACCGGGAATCGAACCTTGACCTTCTGGTTCATAGATAGAAGCTCAACCACTGAGCCATGCCAGCCGGGCGATGGTTCATTCTTTTTATTATTATTACTAGAGGCCTGTTGCATGAAAAGATTCGTGCAATAGGCCTTCCCTTCCCTTGGCTGCTGGCACTGGTTTGCCTCTGGCACCCGGGACCCAGGCCTTCGCTCTGGCCGGGCTCCATCCAGAGCCGGCCCCGGAGCTGTCCGGCTTCGCTCCGCCACTTGGAGCCTATGTATGCAAATTAAACGCCATCTTTGTTGGTTTAATTTGCATACTCTCCTGATTGGCTGGTTAGCATAGTGAAGGTACGGTCAATTTACATGTTTGTCTATTATTAGGTAAGGTTAATATATTTTTATTTATTTCAGAGAGGAAGGGAGAGGGAGAGAGAGATAGAAACATCAACGATGAGAGAGAATCATTGATCAGCTGCCTCCTGCATGCCCCCTACTGGGGATTGAGCCCTCAACCTGGGCATGTGCCCCTGACTGGAACTGAACCTGGGACCCTTCAGTCCGCAGGCCAACACTCTATCCCCTGAGCCAAACCAGCCAGGGCTGATGGTGCATTCTTAAAGGGAAGCGGGGCCTAATGCTCTTTCCCTGGAGATTACCTGCTGCTAAAGGGCTCCCTGGGAAACTGGCCCACGTCAAGATGGTTTGAAAGTGCCATTTGAGAAGCATTCCTTTTCCTTCAGCAAGCCGGCACGGGGCCTCCCGTTCCACGCTTCCTCAGACACGGGAGTGACAGGGCAAGGCCCCTTCCTCCCGACAGCTGCTCCCTGGGCCTGGGGACCTGGGCACAGATGGAATCCACCCTGAGCCTCATGCACTCATCAACCTGGGTGACAACTTTTCCAGGGTGTCCCCAAAGTGCAAGCCCCACCCTGACACCAGGTGTCCCCTTCTGTCCCCCACAGGTCTGCCATCACCATATTTCCCCAGAGGATTGACAGCAAGCACGATTTCCGAGTCTGGAACTCCCAGCTTATCCGCTATGCTGGCTACAAGCAGCCTGATGGCTCCATCCTGGGGGACCCAGCCAATGTGGAGTTCACAGAGGTGCGTGCCCCCCAGTCCATGCCCACCTGGGCTCTCATCTCCCCAGACTGTTTCTCTCGACAGACTTTTCTGATTTTGATGTGATCCTCATACGGAGAGCAGCAAATGAACTGCCGCTTATTCTTTCCCAAACCTCCTTCTCTCTGTGGCTGCCCCCAGAGAGAACCAGCTGGTTCTCTTACAGGTGGTCAGTTGGTCATTTTCATGCCATTACCTTGCCTGACCCTCATGATGGTAACCATAGTCCCATTTCACAGGTGGATAGACTGAGTCTCACCAAGGCCAAATGAACTATCCAAGGCAATAAGTGAACAGAGAGAAAGCTAGAAATACAGTCCAAATCTCCTGCCTCCCACCTGGAGGAAAGGAGCTGACATATGGAAACCATGCCTGCATCCACCTTTTCTGAGTTGGGTAATATGTCAAATTCATATCATTCATTCATTCATTCATTCAACAACTATTCAACCCACACAACCCTCGTTGGATGGGCTGGACTCTTCATGGTACCAGCACAGACACTATTGCCGACAGCCCAAGTCAACTCATAAAAGCCACCAGAAACACAAACACCACCATCCAAGGCTCCTTCCAGGTGAGGCAGACAGCACAGCTGAGGCACGGCAGCTTACAGCGTCTGTGCCCATAGCAGACACCACAGGTAGACGCCATGCCTGCCATGACCTCAGGCACACAGGCCTGGTACCCCCTTTTCTTAATCACCCAGTCATCCCAGTTGAACGTCATCTTGTCCTTTCCTCAAACCCCCCTCAAACTCCACCCAGTACCTCCCCCAAGAGGAGCTGGCCAGGCAGGACCACTGAACTCCCTCAGTTGCTGCTGACGGCCTTTGCATCCGGCTTTCCTGATTAAATGCTACTCTCCTAAGGAAGGGGCGGTAACCAGGGCGACCAGGAGTGGCACCTGTGCCGATTTAGACTCAGCCAGACTCTCTGCTCCACTTGGCTGCGAGCTGAGTGTAGAGTTGGCTGACCTTGTCCTCGTGGCCACCAGAACACAGACGCCAGGGCCTCTTCCTCTTCTTCTGTTTCCAGAAACCTCGCTGACAGGACATGTTCTTTTAAGTGCATAATTTCATGCTCCTTCTTGGTACGAACAGGACAGAAAGAGTCACCCAAACATAACCACGGAGCTGTATCTTTTGAAACCCTCTCCCCCTGAGCTGTCCAATACAGCAGCTGCTGGTCACACATGGCTCGTGAGCACATAGTCTGCATACACACCAGATCACCAAGACAGAAACCAAAGAGGGAGGGTGGGGAATATCTTATTAATAAGTTCTTATCTCGAGTATTGAAAATGTTATAGTGGGTAATATTGGGCTAACCTATTTGTTATACTTATTAATAAAGTAATACACTTATTGAGTTAATATATATAATTGTGTTAAATAGCTTTAAATGTTAATAATTTATTTAAAATTTATTATCTATAATAATAAAAACATGATATGCTAATTAGACCGGACAGCTGAACGATCTTCCGGATGACCTTCCAGACAAAGCCGGGGCTGCGAGGGCCGAGCCCCTTGCACGAATCTCATGTATCCGGCCTCTAGTTAACAAATAAATTATATCTAATACATTTGATTACATGTTATATACTACATGGTATAGACTCCCTCCCCAGTGGGCAGGAAAGACCCAGAAAACATAAAACATGGTTTCTGTCTCGGTGGCCTGGTATTTTACACTTATGGCACTTAGGGTCTCAGTTCGAACCCACCACATTTCGAGTGCTCAAAGCCTGGTGCTGGGCACAGTTTTACCCTCTGTCTGTGGGACCACGAGAAGCGGTGCTGGTTACGTGGTGATGTCGGGGAGACCTTGACAAAGGAGGCGCGTGGCCCGGCCCCTCCGGAGGAACGGGCTGTTGGGGGGTAGCGCCTGGGCTCTGCCCCTCCCCAGTGCTGTGTGTTGGGAGGGTCTGGGGCCTGAGCTGGGGCCTGACCGGCGGGTCTGCTTGCAGATCTGCATCCTGCAGGGCTGGAAGCCCCCGAGAGGCCGCTTCGACGTCCTGCCACTCCTGCTCCAGGCCAACGGCAATGACCCCGAGCTCTTCCAGATCCCCCCAGAGCTGGTGCTGGAAGTGCCCATCAGGCACCCCAAGTAAGAGGGCCGGCATGGAGTGGGTGAGGGTGGGTGGATTTCCCCAGTGCCCCTCTGCCCGTTCCTGGACCCCCTGGCTCGCCCTCTCCAGCCCAGACACAGGCTGAAAGGGGCTCTTGATTCCAGTCCTCGCCCTGGGACCTGGGCACAGAATCAGTAATTCCTCCTTGACCAGCCAGGGAACTGCCATCTTTTCTGAATCATAATCTCCCTTCTTACCCCACTCCTAAGCTACCGACGCGGACCTGCCCTTTCCCAGCCGGAGGATCAGAAAGCAGGAGCACCTGCTATCCTGTTGGGGGCTCAGATGTTAAACAGAGGGAGCTGTTTAAACCCTGTGACTTGAGGGGAGTCACGTCCGAAAGGAATTTGGAGGAAGGAAATCCAAGGGGCCTTGGGGGCAGAATGGAGGCGGCACCAAAAGACTCAGTAATCAAGATAAATAAT